TAGAGCTGCAAATTTTGACCTATGCTCGGCACTTAGGGCCATTGAGCAGTTTCGTGCCAGCACCTACTGCGACACGGGATCTCGGTTTATACGGTCTCATCCGAAGGACCGGTCTCCACGTCCCACAGTGGGATTCGAACCCGCGACGTAAGGATCAACTCCTTACTCCGCGACTCTAGAGCAGACGCTCTACTCCTGCGCCACGCGGGCGATGCAACTTAAAGTGACCTTGGATCCCATCCCCCACCCCCTAGAAACGCGGATCCCTGTTAATTTGGTAGGAAGTCATACATATGAAAGCTTAAGGAGTGAAGTGGAGCGGATTCCACCCCCACCCCCACACCCCCCTCCCCAGCGAAATAGGTTTTTCATATGTTGGGGGAAAATTACGTTTTGGGTTTTTTAAATTTTGTTTTTTGTTTGTTTTTTTTTGTTTGTTTTGTTTTGTTTTGTTTTGTTTTTTTTGTTTTTTGTTGTTTTTTTTGCTTGTCAAGAAAATTCTGTCAGACTCGGAAATTTTTTGACAAGCAAAACAAAAACTGAACAGCTTGTCAAAACCTGAATAATCTATTTCTCTAAAAGGGGACATTCCTAAGTAAATTTTCTTACTTCTTACATGTCTATTCTTGCCATTTTAAGGTGATTCCATGTTTCCCAGGAGGAGCCAATGTCATTAAAAAAAATTTCGTCCCTTTTACATAGAAATCTAATAATTTCCGGACCCACCCACCCCTAGATAGACTAACCCACCCCCTCTAGATCCGCGCATGATATAGGTTCTTAATTTGGGATATGCTGGTAACCATTTCCTCATACGTTCTGGGTAAATTCGTATAGCTTCCTTTTAATTCCTTTAATACCTATTGAATGTTTAGAAACACATACATTCATATTCAGCTTTTCACATATATTCTGTTCATAGTACCGCGTTCCATGATTACTACAATTACCCTATGCCCAAAACGAACGTTTACGGGAATTATGGATGTTTCGGGACCGCGATGTTTCGGGACCCCGACGTTTCGGGACCTGACAACACGTTTCGGGACTTGGGTTAACACGTTTCGGGACTTGGGCTAACACGTTTCGGGACTTCTAAATATTTTGTAAAGGAAATGAAATAAAACTTGTTTACTTGTGTTTTTATGTTTATACATGTATAATTTCTCAGTTTGATACACAATTTATAATTTAAGAAGCACTGATTGGAGTTTTTTATTAGTTTTAAAGTTTGCCTGCGGCATGGAGCACGCCTGCCGAGAAAATCAAACGCCCGCGGTGTTGTCTCTTTAATTTCTTATTACAGTATTTGATATATTACCTTTATAAAGTATTTGGTTAACATTTGACCAAAATTTAATTCAATTTTTTTTTTAAATATTTATTTGATTTATTTATAGTGTTTGATACGAGAGTTTGTAGAATTAAAGCCGGGAGACATCGTAACTGCTGTGTGAAGACCACGGACGTGTTTTTCTTTCTAAGACTTTCTTTCTCTCCTTTTTAATAATAATTTTATGTATTTGATTTCATATTTGTTTACAAAATTTACAAAGACTCAAGCTAGCACATGTGCAGTAAAAACTTTACGTTTTACGGGTAGTTGTTTTGAATCAGAATCTGAAATATTCCATGTTCAACTTTTTAAACATCAATGTATGAAATTTATAATTATTATTTCAGGTTATATATGCAACAAAATCATAAAAGCAAATTTATACAAAATGTTATGGGTAAGAGAAATGTTATAACTTAAGCTATAAACTTCCTACTCATCCATGTATACGTTAAGCAGAGAAGGGAAAAAAAACGAAATGGGTAAGAAAATCAGCATGTATTTGACATTTCAAATATATATAACGTCAAAGAACGGCTTGTAAAGTAAATTTTTCTGAAAGTATGATGTGTATATATATACCATGTATGCAACATTTGGAAATAAACCAAACTTACTAATTTTCAAAATATAAACACATTTAACTTATTTTTCATCTTAACGTTTCAAAGTTAGACAATTTCTTCGTCTATGCAAAGTACATGTACTCGATGGCTTAAGAAAAATGATGAAAGTAATCGATTTTATTCATTTATTTCAATTAGAAAAAAATTATTCCCACGAAAGTCCCAAATATTCCCGCTATATATTATTGTACTATCAAAATTGTTAATTTGTCTACAATGATATGGATGTCTGAATTTATGTTTACTGTGTATACACAGACTACAAATCTCAATGAAACTCAATTATCGATCTTCTTATATATCCGACCAGTGCGTAATATTATATGTGGTTTTACATAGTTAGGTACATGACAAACTTTAAATAATACTGTAAATAAATACTAAATATTATTTAATTTGCAAATATTAAATTTTTCATGCTACATGTATGTTGTAAAAGTGTTTAAAAGACATTCCACAATTGACTACGTTAACAGGTCAACTTAAATTTCAAATTTCCACCTTGCCACATTAAATAGATAAAGCTATGATGAAATTTGAAATGTTTTTAAAGACATTATTTGAAACGATATCAAATGAAATCATGTTGTTTATACCATTTAATGCTTTTTTTTAAAGTATGGTATTTTTTTTTAAATTTAGGGCCAATGTTCTCGCAACATCTGTAAAATATGTTTATTTACAATGTTTTGGAAACTTTAAAAATGTTTTCGTAACATTTCCAGGGAAGAATCTTACAGATACTATGCCAAAACTTTTTGGAAAAAAAATATTTGAAACTGTTTGGGAAAAGGTAGACAAAATCAAGATCAAAACATTTTGAAAACCTTTATATTTTGTTGAACTATTGTTTGATTCTCAATTATTTCATTTACCAATAAACAAACGATATTTTTTCCATATTTTTAGATTTCTATTTTCTTAAAATAATTTCAAAAGAAACCACACAATCTTTTTAGTTCCCATTACCGGCGGCATCTTTATACATGTACGTAACACCTCCCTATGTACAGAGTATCAGTTGGGATATGTGTACCTGATCCCAGTTGTTGTTTTAACAATTTACTGACATGTTTTTTAAAGATATATTCGACGGTAGCTGGAGATCACTTGAATATTTTAAAATATCTATCATCAACCTAACTGAGAAGATTAAATTTTGAAACCCCCCCCCCCCCATCACCACACACACAAGAAAAAATAACTAATAAAAAAAAATGATAAAAAATAAAAAGAAATAAAAATGAATATTGTAAAGATTTATTCTTCTTCGTCTGTTATGAAAAAAACCCCATCAAAGTATATCTTTATGACAATTTTTATTATATATATACATAAAAATTAAAATTCGGATTTAGCTTGAAATATTACGTACTATGTGTAATTAGAATAATATGCTATATCACCATAATAAAATAATTTGTTTAGATCCCGAAAAAAAATAACTCAAGTCCCGAATCGTCTTTACCCAAGTCCCGAACCGTCTTGTTGCTAGTCCCGAAACGTCGTATTAGTCAGGTCCCGAAACGTCGTGGTCCCGAAACATCGTGCACCCGTTTACGGACATAGCCGAAGCTTCAAAGACCAATGATATTGCTGGAATAAATCCTCGGGATTGCATCTTCCTTCCGTTGTGTAAGTTCAAGGAGAAACATTTGCGAAGTATTGACATTGCAGAAAAGTCGTTTAGAGTGACTAGATCAGTATTTGTTAAAAGACAAAAGATGCCACGCAGAGGACGTGCTTCTTCCCCAAAACCAAGTGGTGGTTCCGGTGGATTTATGGGTGCAAAATCGGGGTAAGTTCACAGATGTAAACAAACGCACATGGCATCAGACGATCGGTACTTCGGACGTTCCATAATCTATTACACAATAAAGTTTGATAATAAATTAATTGTAAAACATTATTCAAGAACCCCAGGGTTAAGAATTAATTTTAGTAAATAAATGTAAAACCACATTTTTACCTATGCAGAACCTGAGCAAATATATTAGAAAGCTTTCAAGACTGGGGGGGGGGGGGGATTCAGGTCCAATGTGTGGGAATATTTGCCAAAATATTTTGAATAAACAAGCCTTATTGAAAACAAAAAACTTTTTCTGATAATTCATGTTTCCCAGTTGGAGATGTGTATTACCAGAGACACAAATTACTTTACTCTTATTTATGTCTCTATAGCTGGTATTACAGTAACATACATTTGTTCACCTTTTACAGCTAGTGTGATGTAATGGATCTGTACCTTATAGGTGTAGTAACAGCATGAAATTGATGATGTGTTGGTAATACATAATGTTAACCATTCATTGTCTTTCTCTTTTAGACCCCCAGCTCGTGCTGCCCCGCCTCCCCCTCCACCAATGGTTGCCCAAACACAGCCTAGGCAACCTGGACTGATGGCACAGATGGCTACCACAGCAGCAGGTGTAGCTGTTGGATCAGCAGTTGTAAGTATACTTATAGCTGTAATGTACTCACTAGCTAACACTGTAATTTTATCGGTCTAGTATTCAGGGGCCCCACAGAAGCCCCCAAATTAGAATTTGGGACTCTTCTGGGCACCTTGCCAGGGCTAGAAATAATTATTTTATTTCACTGGTCCAGGGCTCAACATTAACGCTTGTCCGCTTGCCCGGTACCAGTGAAAAAAAATTACAGACAAGTGAATATTGCTGGGCACTTGTCCAATTGGACAAGTGCATTTTAATGTAAAGGAGTCTCTAAATAATAATAAGAACGACTGTGAAAGATAATCGGTAGTTTCAAGACGGAAGCTGTACATAAAAACCGGACTTCGATCCCGATAGGGAGTTCACATTGATTCGGGATCGAAGTTCACTAATTGCATACTACTGAAAAGGCATGGAACTTACGAACTTAACGAAGTTTGGTTCACTTGTGGACATTTATGTTGTCAGGACAGAAAGCCTAGATAAAATTTCGTTTTATGTGTTTGTTGTAAATATCAATGACATCACGAATCAATCAAGCACATGTCATGTGTAATGGACTTTATTTTAGTTTTCAAGTTGACAGTATTAGATCTTTATTGAAAAATTTTCGGACAAGTGAAGTTGAAGTTCGGACAAGTAAATGTCTTGGTCACTTGTCCGAATGGACAAGTAAGAAAAAAAGTTAATGTCGAGCCCTGTGGTCATTCGGGCTATCACCTTAAATTTTTACTGGTCAGCTGAGAACTTTCACTGTCCCACTGGACCAGTAGATTTTTAAAAGACTGGCCCTAAAGATTAAAATCATAAGAATAAAAGTAATATTTTGTTTATGTATTGTGTTACTTAATAGTACAACTTAACAAAACAGGAAATGGCAGAACTTGGACACACAACCCTGTCAAGTTCACTAGCCCCACCGTGAATGGATATTGTTATGCATAAAAAATACACTGACCCAAAGGGCACATGCCCTTTACAATGTACTGGCCCATATTAAAAATTCACTGGCCCCAGACCAGCGGGCCATCAATTATTTCGAGCCCTGCTTGCTGAAATCTGATGAAAATCTGTCTGTCATCAATTATTTAAGTCTCACAATTTTTACTTCATCCAAAGTAGAAAAGGCTTTTCAGGACACTTGTGCTAAAATCTATACTTTCTGTCTATAATGTGTAACTGTTCACAATTTGGACAATGTTACTGACACACTGGATCATTTTCACCTTACCTGTGATTGAGTATCCATGGGTGAAAACAGAAAATGATTCATATTTGTTTAAAAGGAAGGTCATGCCCACTTACAAGGGGAGATAATTGAATAGGGGGAAATAGGATGGAGTAAAGAATCATATGGTCAAAAAAGACAGCATTTGGAGGAAAGCTAGCCTGTGTGTTCTTCTAATGTACATGCTTTATGAATTTTTTCTTTGATGGGTTGAACTTCTATTTAAATGATGTATTTCTGAGTGAATTTAACATTTACCTGCTTGTCTTCAGGGTCATACACTAGGAGCAGCAATGACTGGAGCAATGGGAGGCGGAGGGCACAGTGAGCCCGCCCAAGCTCAGAGCTACCAGGAAAACCCCCAACAGTTTCAGCAGGCACCAGCCTGTCAGTTTGAGCTCAAACAGTTCATCGAGTGCACTCAAACTCAGCCAGACATATCACTGTGCCAAGGCTTCAATGACCTCCTCAAAAACTGTAAACTTCAGCATGGTAAGTTTATGGAGAATGATACATAAGAAAATGTTTGCTAAAATGATATCTTTTGTCAAACTTGCTCCTTCAGACTTCTGTTAAAGTCGTTGAGGTAGCTGGTACATTACTCTATTCCAATTATTAGAACCCTGCTCTGCAGGTGCCCAATAGTAATCAGTCTGCCTGTCTGTACATCCGTCCATCTGATTTCATTTGTCCAGGGCATATTTTCTCTCCTCTTGGCCCAGTTGAGCTCAAACTACACTCGTAGTGTGCCCACCAGTAGAGGGTGTGCAGTGACCTTGAGCCAATTTTTCTAGATCAAAGGTCAAGGTCAAAAAACCTCTGTATAAAATCCTTGTCTGGAGCATATTTTCTCTCCCCTTGACCCAGTTGGGCTCATACTTGACCAATAGATTGTCCTTGGGTAGAAGGTAGGCATTGACCTTGAACCAATTTTCTAGATGAAAGGTCTAGGTAAAAAAAAAAAAACCTCTTTGTAAAAATCCTTATATCTGGAGATCTTAGCATATTTTCTCTCTCCTTGGCCCAGTTGAGCTCATAATCCATGGATTGCCCATGGGTAGAGGTTATGCAGTGATTTTGAAGTAATGAACCAATTTTCTGCTTGAAAGGTCAATATTAGAAACCTTTCTGTGTAAATTTCTTGTCTGGAGCATATTTTCTACCCCGGTGGCCCTTCCTGGTTCATACTTCACCTGTAGAGTGTCAGAGGATAGAGGGTGACCTTGCACCACGTTTCTAGATTTGTGGTCAAGGTCTCTGTAAAATTCTCTTTTTGAGCATTTTCCTCCTGTGCCAATCTGGCTCAAACTTCCAAAGATTACCCTTGGATAAAGGGTCTTTCATCTAACATCCTTTGCTAAGGACCCTTTGAAATGGTCACTATCTAAATGATGTCTTGTTGTAGAATTTGTTATGAATTGCACATAAAATATTTACAAAATACAAGTATTATGGATTGATGTATTAGTTCATAATAATTGTATTTTTAATTATACATGTATGTATTTGAAGATGTTTTCTGTTCTTTGCAGGTATACAGTAAACTATTTATGTGATAATGGTCTGTGGTGTGAATAAAAGAAAGTAAATTTGAATGTGTAGAATATATGAAGCAGACCTTTGGACAGTTGCATTATGTGATAAACATATATTTTACTGTGACAGTTTTTGTACAGTAAATTTTTCTCACTGCAAATAAAAGATTTGAAATAAAAGGTTTGTGTTATATTTCATGCCAGTAAAGCTATGACTTTAGTTCTAATTTACAATTGGTTGTCTGTTTGGTTTGGAGATGATAATTTTTTTTTTCTGAGTTACTTACATGTATAAGTTGAAAATCATAAAGTATCATGGGCATGATTCAAAGGCATCATGGTGTGGATGAAAGATGCATCTATGAATGATATCTAGATTTTAAAATTAATTTTTCAATAGTTTCTATGTTTCAAATGTTTCAATTGTGATTAAAATACCTGTTGATTTTCTGTCTGAAGGTCAGAGGCACTGAGGAATTGAAAATAATGTGTGATCAGAAAATGGGCATAAATTGAATAACATGCACATTTGACAAAGTGTACCGTAAAAGTCATACAGATATCAGTATGAAAGTTTAAGATATTCTTTAATTTTGACGTGTTCAAAACCTAATTTTACTGGCCATAGACCAAAAATCCTTCTGTCATGGTAAGGTTTCCTTTGTCCAACTGTAAAAAAGAAAAAAATTACTAAAATTTTATCCTATATATTTTTAGTGATGGGGTGTCTGTCTTTCTGTCCGTCCGTCCATAACGCTTTGCGGTGCCCATCTCTTATCCGCAACTCCTCTTACACCACTGAATAAAATTTAACAAGACTTTCACAGAATCTTTGTTACATAGTGCCATCGTGCACCTCCTATTTTACTTTTATGGACATAAAGTAGGGATTTGCGATAGCAAACATAGACACTGCCATTCTTTCTATAATATTGAGGGGTACCCAGCTTTTATCCGCAACTCCTCCTATACCACGGAATAAAAAATTTAATGATACTTTCACAGAATCTTTGTTACATAGTGCAAATGTGACCTCCTATTTTACTTTTTGATCGGACACTTATTTCGGGTCTCCCATAGCAAAACATGGACTTTGTCACTATAGTCATATAGGAGGCTGGGGGTATCATTTTGTGAGCTCAGTGCTCACAGTATACCTTTAGTTTGATTTTAATTTATGAATAAAAGGATTGACATTGCATTAAATTTGCGCATATTTTGAGACAATTTAGATGCTGTCATTAAAGAGTAATACCAGATCGCAAGTGTTTGCCTATGAGATTATTCTCCTTCGTACTTGCGTAACTAGTAAAGAAGCAACAGCATTTATTCAATAATTTACATAAATATACATTACATATATAAAATAGAGCATAAAATGCTCAGGTGAGTATATGGCCTATGGGCTTCTTATCAGCCTGAAACTAAGGAATTTAATTAAGCATCAATTTTGTTTGAAAAGGAGTTTTGGAAAGAAAGATAGATTTTCAGTTTAAAAAATTTTAATTTTGGCCCCTAACTGGACTCCGGGATGAAAATTCCCAATCTTATTGAATATCTACAGGACATTGCCAATCATATTCTAAACAATGATTTGGCTACTTCGTAAAATGTAAGAGGAGTTCTGGGAAGATGGATTTTGTAAATTTATGTCGTTTAGGGCCTCCAATTGGCTTACCCAATGTAAATGAAAATTCTGAACTTTTTTGGCCAGGCATGTAGTAATAGTAGGGGGGGGGGCTGTTTTTACTGTTAATTTAGTATGAAAATGCTCATTGAAAGGCGGGTCCCCCCCCCCCCCATTTTTGTAGTATAGGCAAATCTTCCTATGTTAATGTATTCGAATTATTTTGTCGAAAAAGTTTGAATCTAACGATCCTCCTCCCACCCACCAGAAGAAATACGATTTTATAGCTCGGACAATTTTCTTTTTTATGTTTTTCAAAGAATTTTCAGGTAGGTTGTCAAAACAATACTACGTGCCTGTTGGCTACTGCATAAAATGCAAAAGGAATTCACGGTACCGGTTTTTTGGTAGAAATACGTACGTATCTTTCGACCCCCAATTGGGTCCGAGAGTGAAAATGACATCACCAATCACAATCTAAAAGATTATTTGGCTACTCACAAAATTTGAGAGGAATTCTGGGAAACCGCTTTATGTGGGAAAATGTCTTTTTGGTCCCGAGGGTGAAAATGAAATTTTTTAAAAACCTTATTGTATACCTACAGGACACTATCTGTATCATATTCAACAAGATGATTTGGCTACTGAGTAAAATTTAAGAGGAGACTGATTGACGAAGATAATTTGACAGACAGACGGACGGACGGACGGACCGAGATAACAGCTTTCTATAGAAAGTTCGGGTATTAAAAAGTTGGATAAACTTCATCTGGGGAGGAGGTTTTCTCTAAATCCTCCAAAGACTGCATTTTACATAGGTTTCACATGAACTAAATTACATAAATTTATCATCAACTTGTACGAAAATTTAATTTTGCATTAGTGCGCAAAGATTGAACACACTGATGTAACACAATCATTGCAGCGAGCTTTGACTGATTCATTGGCGTAGTTGAGCGGTATTGGTTACAAAGAATCTGGGGGGATTACACGAGCCAAATGCCCATGCCCATTTTGCGGCTATACTGTACGAATTTACCTAGGCATTTAAATGTGTACAGTACTTGTCAAAATGTTGATACATTGTATCTAGATTCTAAACAAACTAAAAGCTTGTGCTTTACTTTATTAATTTTGGACTTCATACCAAGCAGATAGCAGCTATGTCCTCGTCATCGTTCTATAAAGATGGGATGACACGGAAGGGAGGGGACACAGTAATCAAACCACAGTTTCTCGGACTGAAGAATCATTAACACTCCATTATCAAGTAAAAACTTAATGGAAAGGGCATTCTGGATGGAAGGACAAGAAAGTTGTTAATACAAAAGAGAATTCAATTATTCAAATAATAAAATTCTCAGCAAGTCAGAAAGACTGCAATCGAGCAAGAATGTTCAGCTAATTTTTGCAGATGCCTCGGTGAAGATCTGAGTTTGAAAGAAATTATAAAATGACCATAACTATAAGCTAGCTAGTTCACTTTCTATACCTTAATATCTAACTGTATAATGTCCGTGAACATCTTTGGTTTCTTCAATATTCTAAATGGATCCGTCATAAGAATTATTTCACGACACGAAGCCAAGAACCATGCAACTCTTGAACGCGCGCACACACACACACACACACACACACACACACACACACATACACACACCCTCTCTCACACACAGTCATTCACATACAATGGACAAGTAAGAAACCAACCTGTATATATCGTATCACATACAATGGACAAGTAAGAAACCAACCTGTATATATCGTGGAAAGACTGAGGATCGCATAATAAAACAACAACGAAAGCTAGATAATAAAACAGCACAGAGGTGCAAGGGAAAAAAAACACTCTGCATATGATTTATGGAAAGTCTGTGAAAATTTCCCGTCATTATATGATTCCAATAACGAAGGCCTTCCCACAACACTCTGTAAACAGTTCCCTCAAGTCAAGTCATATGATTCTAGTAACACAGTGCATTGTGCATTTAATTTGTTCAGTTAATCTATTTATGCCAATCTAATTGATTTTGAAAAAGAATGATGAAGGTTTAAACCATCTTTGAAGGCAAATTGTGAAATTACAAATACATGTAAAATAAATTTTAGGTTCAGACATACAACTACTGAGTATATGACCTTTTCCGGAAAACATTTTAGATAGTGGACAATTACTAGTACTCCAGCTATACTGCAGTTCTGGAGAGGAGACCCCTTTGCAAACTAGACGGTGGGGATGCGGGACTTCATCGATGGTACATATTTACGTGAATTGGAGAAGTAACGAGGGGGGGGGGGGGGCAAAGAGGTGCCCAAGCCACTAAAAAAGTATTGCGTATGTGCATCAAAAAATGCGCGTTAATATTTAGTTTTATCTGATCAAAAGTTATTTTACTACATGACTGAAGCAATTTATCAAATGGATTATCAGTTTATCTTAACTTTGGTCATCTGCTTTTGTTTGTAGTCTAAGTAGTTCACACACTGGTACAAACATTGAGGGGAAACAATCTTCCAAAGTAAGTAAAATGTTTGTATCATCAAATGCTTGACTCTGTTACGTAGCATTGAACAAAAACCTGAGATGATTCTAGTGACCCTAAGATGTGTTTAATCTTTTTTTTTTTTTTTTTCATTTTTACATATTTAGATTATTTTGGTTGTATGTTGTTCATTATATATACATGTACATGTACGTACTCTGTGTCTGGTATGCAATAGGAGAATTCGCTTTCATGCTAAGGGTGTCGCTATCAAATATTGATTGAATTTGTTTGTATTGTTTAGTTTATAATCTTGTAACATCTCGTTTGAATATCTTCCACTGTCGATCTATCTTATCTATTTTCCTCTGTGACATATTATTGCGTATGATAAACGCAAAGATTTTTCCCCGAATAAACAAAATACAATCATTATCTTTGCATGAAATGTGAAGATAACGAACAGTGGTCATTCTCAAAAGTCCATTTAAACAATACAAATTATGAGCAGAGCCAAGACGGACCTCTGAAAACAGAGGTAGGATCAGGTGCCATAGAGGAGTAAGCATCCCCTGTCGACCAGTCACACCCGCCTTGTGCTCCTTGTCATGATCGGGTAAAAATAAAAATCAGTAGACAATTCAGTGTGGAAATAATGGTCTAACAATTTGTATGAAAGACATCAGTCAACATTGGTCTTAAACGACAGATTATATTTTCAAACAAGGTCATTATATCGACCATAGAATTTGCGAAAGGTTGACTTTAAACGAGATTGTTGATATTCTTGTTTCATCAACTTACTTTTCAATAGCTTGTCTCGTTTTAGAAATTGTTTGCATGTAGAATATTCTAGCGTATCGAATCAAATGTGATATATACTCCAAATCAGGGATGGGGTCAATTACTTTAAAAAGTAATTAATTAAATTACAATTACTTTGACTTTTTCTTCAATTAAATTACAATTAAATTACAGGCTTTCTAAGACATGTAATTAATTAAATTACAATTACTTTGCAAAAGTAATTAATTAAATTACAAATTACATTTTTAATTTTTTTGAAAATT